AGTCAAAGTGTATTTAGCTAGAGTTATTTTCACAAAATAATACCATGGACTGGCCCCATAGCCTAGTGGTTAAGGGAGCTAAATCCCACATGGCCTACTACAGTTCAAATTCCACAGGCTGGGTGGGATTTTTCACGGCTTGAAAAACAGGCAGGGTGTGTGTGCGTTCACACCCTGTATCCTGATAGCATAGAGATGTGGAGAAGAGATTATGGTATGTCTATGCCCATTGGGGGTGCTTTCTCCCTCTCTCTGTCTTTCTGTGTCTCTCCGTCTCTCTCTGGCAATGCATGCACCATGAACAACTTAATAATAATACAATAAACTGTTATGCTTAGCGCTCTGCACAGGCATGACCCATGGCTTGCCCAGTCAGCACATCTCACAGGCTCAGGCACCACTCTCCACCCTGACACTGTTCTCTAGATCCTTTGGCTTAATCTGCCTGTTTTGACTCAATCAACCAAACACAATGACTTCCTAGCTCAAATTCTCCCATGTTCACCCCACCCTCATGCCCTTCACAATCAAGCCCTGCCTTCTCTAACTCCCATGGCTCTATGTTGACCACCGCCTTTCTGAAAACTGTGATATGGCTGCTTGTCAAGTGGAAGCAATGGAGGTCAAGAATTACATTTTCTTCATCTCCAATGCCTTCAGTAGCACCTGGCTGGATACCTGGCATGTGGCCAGGGCCCAGAAGCATTCTTAGAATTAAATTAAATGAAATAATTGTGAGAAATAAGGCACTGAGCCAAATGGACTCAGAGGCCAGAGTTTCCAACAGTGGTTTTACGGTTTTTATGTCCCTAGTCTCCCTAGGCACACCCGAGGTAGTTCATACTGAGGGACTTTCTGCACAAGGCACTGGACTGTGTCCAGTTGTGGGTTTGGCCAAGGGTTGAACTAAAAAAGGGGAGAGAGGCCCATATTTGGTGTTGGATAAACCCGGGGTCCAACTCCAGCTCCGTTGCTCACCGCCTTGGGCTTCATTTTCCTCATTTGTAACAAATAGATAATAGTATTTACTTTGCAGGATTGTGGTGGGATTTAAAGTTGGCAATCTGCAAAGCACCTGGCTCACTGGAGCCCTGTAAATGCACTATTATTATTCTCCTTTCCTTTTTTTTTTTTAAGAATTAATTTATTCTATTTTATTCATTGTTATTTTTAAATTTGATCAGAGAGAGAGAGAGTAAAGGAAAGTGAGACAGCAAGCTGCCAGGTCCAGGACTCGAACCACTGTCAGCCACGTGGGAGTCCAGCACCTTAACCATAAGGCTACCTGCCAGCCCCTCCTTTCCTGTTTTAAAGAGTCACAGTTGGATAGAAAAGTGCTCAGGCTTCAAAGTTAGGACTGGAAGCTTCCTTCTCACATGCCCTTGTGTGACTTTGGGCAAGTTACTTAATATCTAATGGCCTCCGTTTTCTCATCTGTAGAATGTTGTTCGAGGGAGGATTAAAGGAGGCTAGTAAAATGCTGAGAATGTTGCTGGCGTTTTCAGTTCTAAACAAGTGGGCACTTTCACACTGTTGGTCTGGGATGAGGCATCGAGTGGGCTCACGGTCAGGGTTGGGCACTGGACTTTGCATCCTGGCTGAGAGGGCCTGCCAAGACCAAGGGGCAGAGGACTTGGCTAACAGTGGTGGTCTGGTGAGCACCAGGAACAGCTCCACCAGCACTGTCACTTGGATGTGGAGCTAGCTGCCCAGAGTTTGCAACTCCCTGGGGTATACATTCTAGGGCCTACCCAACACGTCAATGGGAACTTCAATGGAACCATTTCCTGGCTCTCAACTTGCGAATGAATTCTCTCCTAAAGCAGATCCCCCTGTGGGGAAAGCATCAGTCCAGTTTTCCATTCCCATTTCCCTTGTGTAATTCCCCTTCTTCTATTGTAAGAGATTCATACATATTTTTCATTCTGCATTTTATTATTGTGTATTGTCCAGTTAAGTCAAAATTTCTAGGATCAAAGCAAAGGACAATTCAACAAATTATGTTCTCAATGTCACCTTGAATTACGACACTATAACCACCACTCCTCAAATCAGGATCATCACAAACAATTGTGTAGGTTGTCCACTGCAAAACTCCAGGGGTCCATTTGCGTCATCATCTATGTACGTGTCTCTCCCTGGAGTTTCGTACCGCACAGCCTGGGTGGCTGTAGGAGGTGGTCCCGCTCCCATCCATCTCATTAAGAGGAACATTTTCAACACAAGTTAACTGCTTAGTAATTATTTATTCAAATTGGCAGTACATTTGTGTCATTTTTATCAAGTTTGTATGAGTAATAGGTGAAGTGATAGCTCAATCCAGAAGAATTTTTATAATACTTAGAGGCTTGCAGTCACAAGAAATAAAAAAGAAAAAATTCAATTTATATACATCTTTTTGGTGTAGAGAAGTATGATAGAAAAATCAATAAAAGACTTTCAAGCATAAAAATACATTAGATTAGGATAAAATTCTGTGGGGGAAGTGGAATGGAAATACAATTTCCTACTGTTAAATAAGAGCTCATTCGTGTATTTTTTTAAAAGAATGGTGGTAGGTGTCAAATTGCTATGATGTTTGTAATTCTATTGGATATATTTAAACAGCAATGTAAGAGTTTTATCATATACTACCTGTATTTATAATATACCAGGTATTAAGTTCTTTTTTAATTCTTTTAAATTGTTATAAGACATTTTAGATGTCAACTTAATTTATTTACTTATTGATTTGAGAGATTTTTTTGCCATAGGGTGTGTGCGATCACCAGAGAGACAGAAATCAAGAAATCGCCCCCCAGGGGTGATGGCCACTCACAATCTCTTTTCCTTCATTCTCTTCTTGGGATTTTGGGCACACATGCACATGTGTCTGGCACGAGTTTCAAGCTGCTGAGTCGAGGACTCGAACCATGTTCGACCCCGTGGGAGTCCAGTGCCTTAACCACTATACTACCTGTCCCTAGGTGTCAACTTTAATATGTTCAAGAAGGGAGATAGATTTTTTTTCCAAGTTATTTTAGGGAGCATTCAGCACAAAGTGGTGATTAGCCACACTGACGTCGTCAGCCCCATCTGAGACAGCGGCCTGTTCCAGGATAGCGCATTCTGCCCAGAATGGCGCACGTTTCCTCCCAGAAGCATTGATTCTTTGCTTCTCCTCAGGCTGTGCTCGGGCTCAGGGGTACGGACTAAGCGATGTGGGAGGATGGTCTTCAGCTGGCAGACCACATTTGCCTGGCTGGCTGCTGTCGTTCGTTTTCTGGCCAAAGAACGTGCGTTTGCTCTGTATGACCTTGTGCAAGTATTCACTCCCTTTGTCCCCCAGCAGTCTCCGCATCAGACCGGCTCTTCCCACACAGACCCAAGGGGACTCAGGTCACAGTTTGGGACCTGGTCTCCCCTCTACCCAGACTCCCAGCTCTCCATCTGACACCATACCTGAGGTGTTAGGGGTCTACAGCAAACACATCTACTCTTGTGAAAACCCAAGTATAGAAAAATCTGCCTTTTGCCAATGGAAAAGTCCAAACCAAAGCTTTTGACCAACTCGCAAGTATAAACTTTAAGGAATACAGATAAGATCATCAAAGGCTACTTATCATATTTAAGTAATGTAAAAATTTAGTTTTTTATATATATATGACTTATATAAATATACTACATATACTGATCTATTGGGTCATCCAGAAAGTCATGATGCTTTTTTTGCACAGAAAAGCAGAAAAATACAGTATGGCTTTTCCGATGACCCAATAGTAATTATAAACTGATATGTTAAATTAACATATTATTATAATAGAATCTTACGTAATTACAAGTATGTATAGAAACATCATGTTTTTCCATGTTCACGTGTAATCCATGAGCCAACGGCGTTCAGTCTTCACGCGCATCTCTGACACTGACTGGCATCTCTGTCTTCACTAGAGCTGCTTCTCAAGCCTCGAGCAGCTTTCCAGAGTGTACCATCCTCACTCCCATCCAAGTCATTTAAGATCCAAGACGTTTGTATCTGTGGCTGATGCTGTCACTGGAAATTACACTCCTAGCCCCAAGTACCCATTCTCTATTCATGAGCTCTGCAAACTAACCACTTAGCGTATTGTTTTTTAAAGGGATCTTTAAAAGGCTTGTTTACAACAGCCAACACTTGCAAGGATAAGGAAAAATGACTAAATCTGCACTTAGTGTTTTTGTCTCCATCTTTGCTCTAGCAAGTGACCTTTGTAAGCATTTGAAACATTGCATGGATTGAAGTTATTTTAGACTCATCTGCCATTCCCCAATAATGTTTTATTGGTCAAAATTAAGTGATTAAGAACAAGCCCCGTACCATGGGAGATTTAGTAAGGACTTGAGTAGATGGTAAATCTCTCTTTTCTGAGAGGAAGTGGGTGAACGGAATCTGTGGCTAAATTCAAGACCCTCCCTCCTGGGTTGTAGCTTAGCAAGGACTGCCTTTAAGCATCCACAGTGAACTTCATTACAATCTCCCCAACAGCAGACTGGGGGTTCCAGTCTAGGCAGAGAGAGGCTGGTGGCAATGTTTGTAACCCCTACCCAGACCCAAGTCAGTGGAAGAAAGCCATGCCCACCGTGTGCTTCCTCTTCACACAGTGCTCTGGAGCCTTCTCTTCGGCTGTCCTCCTAATTCTCCCAGCCAGGCTGTGAAGTGGGCACTTATCCACATGCAGGCATGAAGACGCTGAAGCTCTAGGCATTTTCCAACCACGTTTATAGAACAATCAAAACTTGGCCAATAGTTAATCTCCTTGGGCCAGATGGTGGCACGATGTTCTGCAAGGCTGACTGACATCACTTCCCTGAACACACAGAGCATGAGCGTGCCCGTGGCCAAGGCTAGCTGAAGCTGGGGGTGGATCCTGTGGGAGTTCTCTTTCTCTCTATCATGGAAGAAATAAACAAACTTGAAAACATATACACTAAAATAATACTATCAAATCCAGAACTTGCTACTGGATTCATAAGCACTGCCAGTAAGAACATGGCACCACCCTATAAGTTCTGAGGGCACAGAATGTAACATGGAAAGAGAATCAGTTAGTTGCTCCTCAGAAGGACAAAGCTTTACCTGGACGGTGAGTGTCCACACTGTATATCTTTGCACATGGGAAATTGTAAGAAAGAATATGAGCTTTCATAGCTAAACTGGCCAACCACCCAGACACAGTATCAATGGTGTTAGCAGAGGTCTGGTCTTATGACAAGCTTTTTCTTTTTCTTTTCTTTCTTTCTTTTTTTTTTTTTTGAGAGGTTTTTGCTATAGGGCACATTCGCTCGCCAGAAAGACAGAGATGGACAGAGAGATAGAAAACGAGAAATCACTCCCTGGGGTGATGGCCACGCCACAAGCCCTTCTCCTCCATTCTCTGGATCTTGGACACGCACACACACACACCCCGCATGAGTTTAAGCCACACAGTCCGGTACTCGAACCACAGTCAACTACGTGGGAGTCCAGCGACATAGCCGTTAAGCCAACTGTTAGTTCCGATATAAGCATCTTAAATGTTTGTGACTTGTTTATCTTTCTATAAAAATGATGCAGTTCCTTTTATAGAGGAGCAAAAAGAAAATTACAGTCACCTCTAATTCACAGGGCTAATTTGTTATTATTTTGGTATACATCCGTCTTATTTTTTTCTGATGGTTGGTTTTGTTTATTTGCTTGCTTGCTTTTCCTCTTTTAATTACAACCATAGGATCACATTCTCCATATTATGTTGCAATTTGCTTTTTGGATTCAACCCTCCTTGAACATTTTTTTATAGAATTAACTATGATTTCACATCATCTTAATGATTGCCTAATATTCTACTGAATGGTTGTGCCATGCTTTTTTAAAACTAATCTCTCCTTTTAGGGTGAATTTGAGTTGCTTCTAATTTTTCCCATGACAAATAAGTCATTTTAGGATTTTTGGTGACTGAAGCACTTGCTCCATCTCTATGGATCTTCTCCTTAACTTGCGGCCACAGCCATGCAATGATCATCCTCTCCATTTGACAGATGAGAACACTGAAGCTCACAGAAAAAAAAAAAAAAAAAATGACTTGCCCAAGGTTACCGGGTAACAAGAAGAGCAATACCTAATGCTTGTCCTTGGGACCTTCGGCCCAGTCAACTTTCTGATCCTACTTTTTGTCTCTGTGTTTTCTCATGGAGAAATTAATCCTTCAAAGAATGCTTGTGCCTCTTCCTCCCCAGGAGCATCTGGGTCTAGAGGAACCATTTCACCCAAACCAGAAACTCTGACCTCCCAGTCCAGAGTATCTCCTCATTCTCGTTCAAGCCCATCACCCAGTTTTAGTCTGAACATTGCTACTTACTATTTTCTCCTTTATTTGTCTTTTATATAGTAATTCAGTGGCTCTCAGTGGGAGAGAACCAAAGCCGAGATGGTATTTGAGTTGTCACCATGATATCAGAAGGCAGAAGTAAGCAGGGATACCAGATACCTGCAAGGTATGGAATGTCTCATATCCCTACAACATATCCATTTTAACAAGTCATCCATGTAGGTTAAGAAATATCTGTAATCATCTATACAGACTCAATCTCACATGTGAACACAAAGGATAGTATGCTCGATTTAATTCATACCGACTTTTCCAGGAATGCAACCAACATGCAGAGTTTTTTAGGTTTTGTTTTTTATTTGAGAGAGAACTTCACGTGCTTCAACTTGGAGTTTTATCATGTCAGAAAATGACATCATCAACAACAACATTTCTCCTGTATTTGAGTCACTGATGGTACTTTTCAATCAATCTGTATTTGTGGCTGGATCTTTAAAGCAATTCTAAATATACTTAACAATACACTTTTTTTTTTTTTTTTTTGGTCAGAAGGTGCATGTGCTTGCCAGAAAGAGATGGAGGGGAGTGTTGGGGGTTGTAAGAAAGCACCCCACATGGGGACAATCACACTGCAATTCCTTCTCCTCCTTTCAGGATTTTGGTCACACATTCACACAAGTTCAGTGTATTTTTCAAGCTACTGGTCCAGGATTTGAACTGCACAGTTGGCCATGTGAGATCCAGCTGCCTTAACCACCACACCAACAGCTGGACACACCACCAGATGGCCAATAGTATACTTTATTTTAGGTATTAGTCATGGGGGTGTGCACTCACTGGAGAGGAGAGAGAGAAAGATACAGAGAGAGGAAAAGTGAGAAATCACTCCCAAGGGGGAATGGCCACACAGCAATCCCTCTTCTCCCTTTTCCTCTTGGAATTTTGGACATGTACACACACACACATGCCTAGCATGATTTTCAAAGTCACCAGGTCTAGGATTCAGATCATGGTTGGCCATGTAGGAGTCTAGTGCTTTAACCACCACGCCACCTGCTGGTCCCTGCAATGTACTTTTTTAAGCCATTCTTTCAAAATGTCAAAGATAAAGAGAAAACATCATTAACATTCTGTTGGCTATTATCTTTTTTTTTAATTCAAACATTTATTATAAGTAAGTGTAAGTGCCAAGTGCTTTGTTATGCTTCATGATATGGCTATGACCAAACACTGGAATATTAAGAATATGTTATTTTATTAAAATGACTTTCCTGTCTTTTTCCCATTACATTAGAGTTAAAATGCTATATTAATTTTTTAAAGTATGTGGATTCTTGAAATATATCAGTTTCAAATTTAATTTCAGGATGATAAAGAACTCAGAAACCTTGAGTCATAAGGAGCTGTATTTCGACAGCATTGAGAACTGCTGGTCTTCTTTGCCTCCCGACTGGAAGATCAGCTCCCTGAGGGCAGAACCTGCTCTGACCTTCTGCCACTGCGGCCCTCCACACTCAGAGGCTACTCACTAGAACTGCATGAAGAGCTAAGGGAGGCATTCCAGGCGCTGTAAATAAATACGAGTGAAAAGGATGATCATAGGCAGAGTTTGGCCTTGGATAAGATGGTTAGATACCGTTTCTGGACTTCCTTTTCTCCGAATAGTAATCAGGGCAGCATCCCTGATCTGCTGGATGTGAAGAGGATTCCAGGAGATCTTGGATCCAGTGATTGGTGGCACCATGCCTGGAGTGAGGGTCATTGCCATCATTCAATTTCTTAAGCAGTAAACCTCAGCTCTCTGTTTCCACCTACCCTCCTTCTCCGCTCGCACCAGGCAGTTGTTATTAATACGTTTTCCTAAGTACCTCCTAGTCCCACTTATTTCCTCCTGCATCCCCTGCACAAGCCTGGACCACCTTCAGTAATTTGGCTGTATTGGAAATTGGGGCCATCAGAATGACCTTCCTCTTCCCTCCGTGATTCTCACCTTGGTCCCTGTCTCTGACAGATGTGAACGTCCCCCTTCCAACAGAAGCCACGGACCAGGAGGGCGCTGTGAGGGGCCGACTCCCATGGGCGCCATGGTGGGCGGGGCTGGTGCCCCAGGCTGCAGCTGTGCACGGGGAGTGGACCTGGCACCGCTGCCAGTTCTCGGCGTGAAACACCGCCGCCCCGGGGGAGCCGTCTCTGGCCTTCCACAGTGGCTGGGCGGCAGGTTTATCACACTCGCTGAGAGAAGACATAATCAATTCCCCAGCTGGCACTTTGCGCTGAATACCCACTTTTTCAGCTTGATAGCAGGACTAAATTAGTTATTTAGCAACTAGGCCCTAATTTAGAGCGAGCGAGAGCCTTGACAAGGATCATTGTTCAAGGCCATCCCCCCTTTGCCTTCAGATAGGAGGCCCACAAATCCCCAGAAGGTGATAAATAGACAATTAGAAAATAGATATATTTGGTTAGATCTACAAGGCTCCCCGGCGCTGTCAGGCTCACAATGAAGGGGGCCGGGGTAAATTGGTGGCCAATGAACACCAGCTGCACGGCCATCCGTCCTGCAGACACCCAGCCATATGTGGCCATTTACAGGCCGTCCTGAAGAATAGATCGGACCAATAAGACCAGAGGGAACTAAAAATACTTGACAAAGTTGGCTGCTCTTCATTTAACAAGAATAAAATATCTAATGGGGTGTAATGGAGGCCATCAATCACCAACTGCCAGGCCTGGCCGTAATACCACACTTTTAACTATTAATGCAACTTTTTTCCTCTAATAAGTGGGACAGGCACATCCGCTTTGTACACAGGGTGGATGTTTAGGGAGTGGAGATGAATGGGAGATGCTGGAAAGCAATGGCAAGAGGATGAATTCTGGCTTAAAAATAGGAAGGAATGGTGGGAATGTAAAATGATAATAGCTGCCATGGAAAACAGTATGGCGGTTTCTCAGCAAGTTAAACAGATTGTCATACGATCCAGCAATTCCACTCCTAGGTATATACCCCAAAGAACCGAAAGCAAGGACTCAAACAGAAACTGGTAGACCATGTCCATAGCAGCATTAGTCACAATCCCCAAAGGTGGAAACCACCCAAGTATCCCTTGATAGACAAATTGATAAACAAATAGGATTTATACATATAAAGGAACATTATTTAGCCTTAAAAAGGAAGGAAATTCTGATCCATAGTACTGAATGGACCAACCTTGAAAACCTTAGGCAATGTTAAATAAATGAAACACGAAAGGACAAATACCACATGATTCCACTCATACAAGGTCCCTAGAGGAGCCAAACTCATAGATAGAAAGTGGAATGATTGTTATCAGGGGCTGAAGGGAGGGGAAAATGGGAAATTAGTGTTTAATGGGTACAGAGTCTCTGTGTGGGATGTTAAGAAGGGCCTTATATCCTTATATTCTAATATATAAAGATAATGGTTGTAAAAAAGCAACTTCAAAAATTCGTGGAAAGTTTGAGTTTATTTTGATACAAAAATTTTGAAATCCATGCATGGTTGCATTCAGAATAAGTTTTCCATTGTGAATGTTCTTTTTTTTCTTTTTCTTTTTTTTAAAGCGAGAAATCACCCCCCAGGGGGGATGGTCATGCCGCAATCCCTTCTTCTCCATTCTCCTCTCGGGATCTTGGGCACACACGCACACGCGCCCGGCGTGAGTTTTAAGCCACCATGTCCGGGATTCAACCCGTGGTCAACAACGTGGGAGTCCAGCGACATAGCCATTACGCTAACTGCTGGTTCCCCATTGTGTCAATGAATTGCATGGTTAAATGGAAACTTTATATATATATATATAGAGAGAGAGAGAGAGAGAGAGATTTTTGCTATAGGACAAGTAAGCTCGCCAGAGAGACAAAGCGAGACAGACAGAAAGTGAGAAATTCCCCTACGGGGGATGGCTACACTGTAATCCCTTCTCCTCCAGCCTCCTCTTGGGATCTTGGGCCCACATGCACACATGCCCAGCTTGAGTCTTAAGCCACCAGGTCCAGGCCTCGAATTGCAGTCAACTACATGAGAGTCCAGCGACATAACCATTACGCCATCTGCTGGTTCCGGCTAAATGGTAATTTTTATGTCATGTATCTTGAGCATTATTAAAATAAATGTTTTTAATAGGCATGGGCGAGTGGATGGGCGAGACATTTGGAATCATCTTCTCGAACGGCAAACATTGCATTCAGTGACCAGAGGCTATTTGGTTATTTCCTTTAAGATGAGATTTTTTTCAGTCCCTCTGCTTCTTTCAATTGCAAGAAACAGCCACTGAGCCTGAAAAAGGTCCTAGGATGTGGGATGTGTGTGAATCAGGCCATTCCTGCCCTCAAGGAGCTCTCATTCTACTGCAGGGATCAGATACATCCACAAAGAGCACAATGGCAACCCCCGGGAACCTGGGAAGCAGCATGAGAGAGGGGCAAGGCATCCCCAGCATCCTGAGAGGGAGGGATGGGGCCTGATGCGGAACTCTGGCACCATTCATGGAAAGCAGGCCCTTAAGCGCTGTTGCAGAAAATAAGTAAGATTTCACCAGAAAGAGACTGACGAAAGGTCTGTGTGAAAAGGCAAGAATGCGGACAATGAGACTGCTCAGCAGAACACATGCACCCTTTTGGCTGAAGGGAAGGGAGTAGGAGGGGGAGGAGTAGAACGTGAGGTGCAGGATGTCAAGGAAGTAGTCAGGGAAGTAGACAAGGGAAGCCTTCATTCATTCGTTCATTCACTCTACAAATACTCGTTTACTATGGTGTGCTGGTTACTCAGGTTTGTGGAAGAGAGATACAAGTCAAGAGAATCCAGCGCCTGGGACCAGCAGTTAGCGTAATGGCTATGTTGCTGGACTCCCACGTAGTCGACTGCAGTTCAAGTCCCGGACCCGGTGGCTTAAACTCAGGCCAGGTGCGTGTGCGTGTGTGCCCAAGATCCCGAGAGGAGAACGGAGGAGAAGGGATTGCAGCGTGGCCATCTCCCTGGGGAGTGATTTCTCGCTTCTGTCTCTCTGTCTCTCTGTCTTTCTGGCGAGCACACACGCCCTATAGCAAAAACCTCTCAAAAAAAAAAAATTAAGTTCCTAATTTATCGATAATTTTCACTGTACTTGGCTTTATCATATCAGATTTAAGAATCTGGGCCAGCCGCTGACACAGTGGTAAAGCAACACTTTGCAATGTTGTACTCATGTGGGACCATCTCGGCTTCATGTCCAGAGGCCCCCTTGTTCACGCTGGGTGCACATGCACACACACGTGCATGCCTGTGATCCAGGCTCCTTAAAGCTGTGGGTGGGTTGTGCCGTAAGGATCCTGTTGAATGTGTGCCCCCCATTCTCTCTCTCTCTCTCCCTCTCTCTGCCTTTCTCTCTCATGGAAGAAATGAACAAATAGATTCTTTTTTTAAAAAGTATCATCTTTAGGATACCATGTAGTCCCACAAGTCCCACAATCAGGGAAGAAAGACCACAAATCACTTTTACCTCAAATGCTAACTTCTGCTTTTCCCCTCAAGTGAGAGTCCTGCCCCTGTCCTGTCCCCTAGCCCTGCAATGTGGCCATGAAACCAAATCTGGCCAGCAGGAAAAAGGAGGAAAGAGCAGATCGGCACCTGCCCACAATCCATCACTGTGACTGAGGAGATGGTCATTCTGTCTGGCCTAGGTCATCAAGGTGAGTCAGTTTCCCACAAGCACATGGCTACCAGAGAGGACAGGATATCTGAACAAAACTGAAATTTTATTAGATAGGGGGAGGAGAGGACAGATGTTGGGAAGGCAGCCAACAGCATCTGCCCCAATACTTATCCAGGTTCTCTTTGTTCTAGAGCGTTCAGGGGCCAAAACTCTGCAAAGAATTCCGCAAAGCCCACCTCTTTATGGGCACTTTTTTAAAAAGGACATGTAGAATGTAAGAAAAGACTTTTGAGATTACCTGCTCTCAAGCAATCCCTTTATTGTATGGGTGATGAAAGCAAGGCTCAAAGACACCACAGAGTCAGTGGTGAAGCCAAGACCAGGACACAAGGGGACTGACCCACGTGCCACATCTTTCCTCCCTACCAGGTTTTTACACCTGCTTTTCAGGAACTCCTGGGGAAATCTCTAGAAATACAGATTCCAAGGCCCTCTCCCAGGCTAAATCAGAACCTCTAGAAGTGGATCCCAATACTCTTTCTAAAAAAAAAAAATATCTCCCTAGTTTATCTTGGCTCAAAGATCTGTTTGGGAATACCAATTTTTTTTTCCTAGAGAAATTGTTCTTATATTCCAGTTTGCCTTAAGAACAGAAAATTTGGGAACCAGCAGTTAGCATAATGGCTATGTCGCTGGACTCCCATGTAGCCAACCGCGGTTCGCGTCCCGGACCCGGTGGCTTAAAACTC